TGCCAGTACAAAGAGACTTACTACACCTCTCCCACATGGATTGCATATCAATGGTTTGACACAATAATAACCCCGTTTGTTCCATTCTTTCTGATTGTCCTGATGAACGTAGTGACAGTCAGTCACATTTTAGCGGCAAACAGAATCCGCAGAAAACTCCTGCACCAGAAAAGTGAAAGTGGCAACGATGCAGAGATGGAGAACCGAAGGAGATCCATCATCTTACTCTTCGCCATATCAGGCAGCTTCATCCTTTTGTGGCTGATGTATGTTTTACATTTCATACTTTTACGAACCTTAGAGAATTATTTCTACCTCAGTTACAGAGACCCAGTTTTTGTTGTCCATCATGTGACAAACATGCTTAAGGTTTTGAGTTGCAGCACAAACACCGTCATTTATGCCTTAGCACAATCTAAGTTCAGAGAGGATGTCGAATATTTAGTTATCTGTCCGTTTAAACACATATTTAAACTATTTAAATAAAGGAAAATGTGTGGCGCTCTGTGATAATTTGTAAAACATTGACAACGATTCATAATTTAATGAGAGAATTGGTAACTTGACATTTATTTCAAGTGTTCTACAGCAGTAATTTTATTCTTGGCAATCGACATAAAGTACCACAATGCCATCCTAAAGTGGTTCAACGAATATTCTGTGAAATAGAGTTCAAATTAAGAGATGAATGAGTTTCGATTATAAGTCCCCGTATTGCTCCGTGAATATTTTGTTCCAGATAATTTTATAATATTAATATTATTATTATTTTATTCCCCATTTCTTTGGATCTACGCTCACCCAATGTCAAAACGCAGCAACCAAATATATCTATTTGAAGAGAAAATTGTTATAATCACAAAATAAACACGAGATGAATGGTGAAGAGACAACAAATGAATGGATTGTTCAAATAGGTGTTGATCAGGCGAGTTGAATTAACGTGCAAATTGCATTTTTAAGAAGTTTAGAAATGTAACAGGGAGAGAGGGCGAGAGATGTGGATCAGTGGGGAAGGAGCCAAATATGGATCGCTTATGTATGGTTATTGATGACGAGAGGATCGAGTGGCTTCGAAAATATGAGAGTTCAATAGTGTATCGGTCTTTGTTTGTTTGTAAAGGGAAGAAAATCTTTAGGTTGGTATTGATTAGACATGTGGAAAATCTTCGAGAGTTGTGACAAATCATGTGGCCAATAAACACTGAAAATGTATCCTGTAAAATACTTGTACTAGTAGCTGAATTGGACACAGTTTCCATTCTGTTTTTTTTGTTATTTGCTGAGTTACCTTATCAGCCCATAAACAAATCGTCTGATTTCAACAACGCAATTGTGTCATATTGCATTTTCTTGTTATTCTAAAGATTTGCAGTTCAATTCGAGTCTTTAAGTATGTTGACCCCAGCAATGCTGGAGTTTGGTATTGCTGTTATCACCCACGCGGCAATCACTATCGGCTGATGGAGGAGTTGGCGGTGGCTAAGTATGTGATTGATTAGAGAAATGATCGCCTTCCTGACCCACTGCAGCAATGGCCGGTATTATTCCACTCTCCACACTGAGGCCTCCCAACCGCCGGGTCCTGCTGCTGCCACACGAGGACGTCCAACAGGGAGGGAGCGGAAGGTAGAAGTTTGGAAATGGTATCTCGCCGAAAAAGTTCACCACTGGTACACATGCGGCCCGCGTGCCGCCATTTGGACACCGCTGTTGGAAAGTATCGAGACCACGTATTGTGCAGGTGATTGTGGCTGTCAAATTGCAGTGAAGTGAGCGTCCAATTTTTATTGATGGTGTTGTCAGCCAGGACACCAGGAGAAACTCACTTCTATTTTTGATACATGTTATTGTGCAGAATATTGTCAAACAAATATATATACATGCAGACTTACCCACAACCACACAGAGAAGCACCGACTCATACACACCACTGCACAGAAAAACAGAAGTACAAACACAGACAGATAAACACTCACAAACACACACAGATATGTAAAGTGGGAATGAAACACACAGACATATATGCAAACGTGGACACACACACAGACACTCACAGAACACTCACACACGCACAGACACAAACACAGTCGCTCCGAAAAACAAGAAATGTGTACAGCGCCCTCCATTCCAGGTGTTGTCCCATTTACAAACGCACAGACAGAGATAGATAAGAAAGTGGGGAACTAGTCACGCCAAGCGTCTACAATAATGCTGGAAGGCAACGAAGATGTTTTCAGCAATAATAATAATCACAATAATAATAATAATGCTGGCATTTGATATTGCGCTGTTCACGTCTTGCAGACGCCTCAAAGCGCATGTTTAGTCATATCCCTTCCCCTCCTTGAGGGGAGGTGACCAAAGTCTCCCTGGAGCTGATCTGGAGCTGTGCAACTCATGCGGAAATGGAGCGAGTCCTTCGTGATGGTCATTTGGGTGGACACTGTGATCCCGGGCTGTGTGTGTGTGTGTGTATGCGTCTGTGTGTGTGTCTGTCTGTGTCTCCGTCTGTGTGCGTGTACGTGCGTTTATGTCTCCGTCTATATGTGTCTATGTGTGTGTGAGCTTGTTTTTGAGGGTCTATGTGTGCGTATTTGTGTACGTGTTTCTGTGTATTTCTCTTTGTGTGTGTTTGCGGGTGTGTATGTGTGTCTCTGTGTGTGTTTCTGTGTGTCTAAGCCCTGAGCTTCAGGAACCTTTTCATCGCCGCTTCACAGTGAATTCTGTAAAAACACTGTCACTAAACTACGCTGTGAAACGTGTTGAGACGTCTCAAAAATGTGATCATGAGTTGGTTCAAAAGAAGAATAGTGATAATTATTATTATTATTATAAGAAGGGTATTAAACCCGTGAACTCCCCTAACCTTTAAAAGCCTAATTCCCAAATATAATCCCAAATATATTATAATGAAAATAATAATGCTATAGCCCCGCCCAAAAATACAGCTCCGCCCCCAAAATCAGCTCCGCCACCAACCCCAGCCCCGCCCCCAAATACACCACCGCCCCCAAATACAGCCCCGCCCAAAAATACAGCTCCGCCCCCAAACCCCAGCTCCGCCTCAAACCCAGCCCCGCCCCCAAACCCAGCCCCGCCCCCAAAACCAGCTCCGCCCCAAACCCAGCCCCGCCTCCAACCCAGCTCCGCCCCAAACCGAGCCCCGCCCCCACAACCAGCCCCGCCCCCAAAACTAAGCTCCGTCCCAAACCACAACTCCGCCCCAAACCCAGCACCGCCTCCAACCTCAACCGCGCTCCCAACTCCAGCTCCGCCCCCAAACCCCAGCTCCACCCCAAACCCAGCCCGGCCTCCAACCACGACCGCCCCCAACCCCAGCTCTGCCCCCAAACTACAGCTCCGCTCCAAACCCAGACCCGCCTACAACCTCAACCCCGCCCCCAAACTCAACCCCGCCCATTACCCCAGCTCCGCCCCCAAAACCCAGCTCCGCCCCAAACCCAGCCCCGCCTCCAAACCCAGCTACGCCCCAAACCGAGAACCGCCCCCACACCCAGCTCCGCCCCCAAAACCCAACTCCGCCCCAAACCCAGCCCCGCCTCCAACCTCAACCGCGCTCCCAACTCCAGCTCCGCCCCCAAACCCCAGCTCCAACCCAATCCAGCCCGGCCTCCAACCACGACCCGCCCCCAACCCCAGCTCCGCCACCAAACTACAGCTCCGCTCCAAACCCAGACCCGCCTCCAACCTCAACCCCGCACCCAAACACAACCCCGCCCATTACCCCAGCTCCGCCCCAAACCCAGCCACGCACCCAAACCGAGCCGCGCCCCCAAACCACAGCTCCGCCCCAAACCACAGCTCCGCCCCAAACCCAGCCCCGCCTCGAAGCCCAGGCCCGCCAAAACCTCAACGCCGCCCCCAACCCAAGCTACGCCCACAAATACAGCCCCGCCGCCAAAACCAGCTCCGACCCCACACCTCAGCTCCACCACAGCCCCGCCTCCAACCCCAGCCCCGCCCCAAATACAGCCACGCCCACAAACCCCAGCTCCGAACACACACCTCAGCTCCACCCCAAACCGAGCCCCGCCTCCAACACCAGCCGCGACCCAAATAGAGCCCCGCCCCCAAACCAAAGCTCCGCCCCAAATCTAGCCCCGCCTCCAAGCCCAGGCCCGCCCCCAACCTCAACCCCGCCCCCAACCCAAGCCACGCCCGCAAATACAGCCCCGCGGCTAAAACCAGCTCCGAACTTACACCTCAGCTCCACCCCAAACTCAGCCCCGCCTCCAACCCCAGCCCCGCCCCCAATTACAGCCCCGCCCCCAAACCCCAGCACCGCCCCAAACCCCAGCTCCGCACCAAACCCAGCCCCGCCTCCAAGCCCAGGCCCGCACCAACCTCAACCCCGCCTCCAACACCATCCCCGCCCCCAAATACAGCCCCGCCCCAAACCCCAGCACCGCCCCAAACCCCAGCTCCGCACCAAACCCAGCCCGCCTCCAAGCCCCCGCACCAACCTCAACCCCGCCCCAACCCCAGCCCCGCCCCCAAATACAGCCCCGCCCCCAAATGCAGCCCCGCCGCAAAACCAGCTACGGCCCCAACACCCAACCCCAACCCGCGCCCCTATTTTTTGTCCTGTTTGAAGCAGAGCCTCCAGCGGCTGATTGACAGAGAGGTTGAGCAAAATAGAGAGAGAGAGCGTGAGAGAGAGAAGGGGACGGACAGAGTGTGTGCGAGAGGAAGAGAGTTAACGTATAGAAATCGGTGAATATATTTGGGATTAATGCAGATTTCCGAAGTCTGTGAAGGGCTTTGAGACGTCTGGCAGACGTGATGAGGAGCTGTGTGCAATGTAAGGATAATTATTTTCGAGATCAGAAGCTGAAAGTTTTAAAGCCTGAAGTTTATGGTTTGAAACGTGACTTAATGCAGACTTTTCTCTGTGCAAATTGGCTCCACAATCGCTCACAAACACAACCGTTGCTTCACGGTCGATCCCGAGAAAGGTTTGAGCCGTGAGCCCAGTGTGAAAGGTGTAATATAAACTATAAGCTTTATTGTATAGCGACACGGATTATAAAAGGTTCATGCTGGTGGCCATCACAGCCAAACACAGGTAATGGCTGAGTGTTCCCTCCTCATTAATATGTCACCCGGCAGATCCTCAGAGGTTCAGAGTTTTCACCGCCGTGACCCCAACAGGGATTGAAGTAAGGATAAATTTTCTCAGTGAAAGTCTGGGTGAAAGTGTGGAGATGAGACATGTTATCAGCGTTGTAAAATGTTACCTCTCCCCCCTCATAGTCCAGATAAACTCCCAGCTTCCCGGGTCTCTCTTTTAGGGGCAGGCGGGTGGGAGGTGAGGTACAAGCTCCATATTGATCCCCGTTTATCAGTATCACAGCCCAGAATCCATCCTCTGGTGACACTGTGATCTCTCCTTTCCTGCTGACAGACTCTCGGGCCAATCCCACATCCCAATCTGTCTTGTTGGCCACCTGCACCTCCCAGTAATGTCTCCCTGATGTGAAGCCCTCAGACCCCAGGACACAGATACTGGTATCAAACCTCTTCGGGGAGTCAGGGAGCTGCTGCCGTGTGTCTCCGTCTCTCACGGTGGTCAGGTCCTCAGACAGGATGAGGTAGGGATGCGCTGTGTCAGGATCCAGAGTCAGAGAGGCCGGAGCTGAGAGAAAGTGAAACAACGCTTAGTGGAGAGAGGGGACGTCTGGAGCTCGGACTGTGTGTGAACAACTCTGCACCTGGGGACACAATCCAGCTCAAAGATTCACAGTATATCTGGGTGGGAGGAGAGGGAGTGAGTGCACGTTTATGTGTGTGTGTGTGTGTATGTAGGGTGTGTGTGTGAGAGTGAAGTGTGTGAGATTTATGTGTGGGTGAGTGCGTGCGTGTGAGTGGGTGTGCTAGTGTGTGCGAGGGCGTGTATTTGTTTGTTTGAGCGTGTTCTTGTGAGTGTGTGTGTGAGGTGTACTTGACGGTGTCTGATTGAGCGTGTGTGTGAGGGTATGTGTGAGAATGTGTGTGTNGGGGGTATGTGTGAGAGGGTGTGAGGGTGTGTGTGAGGTTGCTTGTGTGTGACGGATTGTGATATTTGTTGTTTGAGGGTATGTATGAGATTGTGTATGAGGGTTTGTGTGATTGGTTGTAGTTTGTGATGTTGTTTGCGTGAGTGCGTGTGAGGGTGTTTATGAGGCTGTGTGTGTGTATGTGATTGTGTAAAGGGGGGAGTGATTGTGTGTGTGAGTGGATGTGTGATTGTGTGCGAGATGGTGGGTTTGACGGTTTCTGAGGGTGTGTGAAGGTCTGTGTGTGAGTGTGTGTGAGGGCATGTGTGGGGGTGTGCGTTCGAGGGGTGTATGTGAGAGTGTGTGTGAGGATGTGTGTGTTTATGTGAGGGCATGTGCTATCGTCTCTGTGAGGATTTCTGTGAAGGTCCGTGTCAGGAGCTGTGAGAGGGTGTGTGTGAGATTGTGTGTGAGGGTGCGTGTGAGGGGTTGATTGAGGGGGGTGTTAGGGGACGTGTGAGAAAATGTGTGTGAGAGTGGGTGTGAGAATTGTTGAGTGAGGGAGTGTGAAGCTTGATATGAGGGTGTGTGTGAGGGGGTATGTGAGGTAGTGTGTGTACGCGCTGTGTGTGAAGGTGTTTGTGAGGTTGAGCGTGTGCGTCGGTGTGTATGAGTTTATGTGAGGGTGTGTGTGCGTGTGTGTGTTTGAGTCGTGTTTGTGAGGGTGCGAATGAGGCTGCGTGTGAGGTTTTATGTGAGGCTGTTTGTGTGAGCGTGTGTGTGAGTGTGTGTGAGTGTTTTCTGAGGTTGTGTGTGAGGGTGTGTGTTTTAGGTGTGTGTGTGTGTGTGATGGTGTGTGAGGGCGAGCGGGACTGTGTGAGGTTGTTTGTGTGTTTGTGAGTGTGTAAGAAGTGGTGTTATTGTGTGAGTGAGGGGATGTGTGTGTGAGAAATTGTGTGTTTGAAGGCGTGTGAGGGTGTGTGTGAGAGTGTGTGTGTGAGTGTGTGTGGTTTTGTGAGGGTATGTGCTATCGTCTGTGTGAGGAGTTGTGTGAGGTGTGTGTGAGGGTGTGTGTGAGGATGTGTGAGAGTGTGTGTGAAGGGTTGAGTGAGGGTTTGTGTGAGGGGTGTGTGCGGGGTGTGTGAGGGGTATGTGAGGGTGTGTGTGACGGTTGTGCGTGCGTGGGTGGGTTTGAAAGTGTTTGAGGGTGTGTGAGGGGATGTTTGAGGATGTGTGTGAAGGGTGTGTTTGAGTGGTGTGTGTGAGCGTCTGTCTGAGGGGATGTGTTTGATGGTGTGTGTGAGGGTGTGTGTAAGGGATTGCGATAGAGGTTGAATGAGAGGTTTTGTGTGAGGGTGTGTCTGAGAGTCTGTGTAAGGGGGGGTGTGGGGATGTGTGATTTTCTGTTTAAGGACGCGTGTGAGGGTTTGTGTGAGGCTGCGATTGAGTGGTGTGTGTGAGGGCGTGTGACAGGGTTTATGTGAGGGTGTGTATGAGGGTTGATGTGATTTTGTGTTTGAGAGTGTGTGTGAGGTTGTCTGTGAGGGTTTGTGTGAGTGTCAGTATGAGAGGATGTTTGAGTTTGTGTGCGATGGTCTGTGTGAGGGAGTGTGTGAGGCTGTGTGTCGGTGTGTGTGAGTGTGTGCGAGCGTGTGGGAGGTGTTTTTGTGAGGTGTTGTGTTTGGGGTTGTTTTGTGAGGGTGTGTTTGATGGTGTATGTGTGCAAAGGTGTGTGAGTGTTGTGTGAGTGAGGGGGTGTGAGCGGGCTTGTTTGCGGGTGTGTGTGATAATGTGTGAGCGGGTGTGTGAGGGTGTGAGTGTTCGTTTATGTGAGGGTCAGTATGAGGGTTTATGTGAGCGGTTGTGTGACGTGTTGTGTGTGAGGATATGTGTGAGCGTGTGTGTGAAGCTATTTCTGAAGGTGTGTGTGAGGTTGTGTTTGAGGGTATGTTTGTGTGTGTGTGTGAGGGGTATATGTGGGGGCGTGTGTGTGTGTAATGGTATGTGTGATTGTGTGTGAAGGGGTATGAGAGTGTTGTGTGAGAGGAGTTGTGTGAGAGTTTGTGTGAGGGTGTGTGTGTCAGGGTCTCCGTGGGTGTGTGTGTGAGTGGTTGTGTGAGAGTGTGTGTGAGGGTGTGTTTGTAAGGGTTTGTGTGAAGGGGTGTGTGAAGGGTGTGTGTGGGTGTGTGTGATGGTTTGTATGTGTCAGGATCTGAGTGTGGTTGTGTGTGAAGTTATGTGTGAAGGCGTGTGCGAAGATGAGTGGGAGTGGTTGTGTGATGGTGCGTGATGGTGTGTGGGTCCGCGACTTTGAGAGGGCTTCTGTCAGGGTGTGTGTGAGTGTGTGTGTGAGGTTCTGTGAGTGTGGGTATGAGTGTGTGTGAGCGTCTGTGTGATGGTGTGTGTGTCAGTTTCTCTGTGAGGGTATGTGTCTGGGTGTGAGTGAGTGTGTGTGAGTGTGAGTATGTGTGAGTGTGTGTCAGGATGTGTGCGTGAGGCTGTGTGTGGGTTTGTTTGACGCAGTGTGTGAGGTTCTGTGTGAGAGTATGTCTGATGGTGTGTGTGAGATTGTGTGCTAGATTGTGTGTGTGTTTGTGTGCGTGAGGAATTGTGTGAGGGTGTACGTGAGGGTCTGTGAGGGGTGAGAAGATTGACATTGTGACCCTCACTGAAAGCTGGATCAGCCCAGGTGACACCTTACCCCTCACTGAGGCCACACCACCCGCTACACCTACCACTATGTTCCCCGTCCCAACCGTCATGGTGGTGGGGTGACCATCATTTCCAGGTTGTCACTTGCCCTGTCCCCCTACTCCACCGGCTCATTCCGCACTTTCGTTCATCTTACCCTCTGCAATGTCTCCCACCTCTCTCTAAAAACCCTCCTAATTAACTGCCCCAAAAACCCAGCCCCACCTTCACCTCTGACATCTCCACCCTCTCGCCTCCCTCTGCCTCTGCTCCAAACCCCTCATCCTCGGCCAGTTCAACATCCACTTCACACCCTCCTGCTACTTCGCCTCAGACTTCTCTATTCTCCTGTATGAGGGAAGTGTGTGGGTGGTGTATGTGTGTGAGGTGTGTGAATGGGTGTGTAAGTGATGGATGTGTGTGAGGTTTGTTTGAGTGATGTGTGTGAAGATATGTGTGAGGGTATTTGGTGTGCTAGGTGAGCATGTGAGGAATGTGTGTGTGAATGGTCCGTGTGTGAGGGTTGTGTGTATGAGGTGTGTGTTTGAGCTGTGCATGTGAGTGGTGTGTGTATCAGGTGTGTGCATGTGAGGGGCGTATGTGTGAGAACTTTGTGTGTATGTGGGAGAAGTAATAATACCCATTGCATTTGATATAGCGCTTTTTATTTCTTCTCGATGTCTCAAAGCACTACAAGGAACAGAACGTAAAGTGAATTGACAGTATATTTGTGGGCGAATCGCGGCAGCCAATTACGCACAGCAGTGTCCCACAAACAGCCTTGGAATGAAAAGAACAATTTTTTTTCATTTTGGAGTGATTATTGTCAGTCGTTTGGTGTAAAGAAACTCGTCCAAGGTTTCACCCTGCCTGCAATTGAAGCCTGATGTCGATGGTACGAGCGGTTACAGCACTCGCTTTGCAAGCGAGAGACCTGAGTTCAATTCCAGACAGAAGGCGAAACCATGGGCAAGTTTCCTTACTCCACACAGAGCCTAATAATAATCCCTCCAAAACCAAAACCAATAGTAAATTGGTCATCTTTAATCCATGACTATTTTTGGGACATCGCTGTGCCCAATTGGCTGCCGCGTTCGCCCACAAACATACAGTCAATTCACTTTACAGTATATTCTGTGAAGCGCTTTGGGACGTCGAGAAGATGTGTAAAGCGCTATATCAAATGCAAGGATTATTTGTGGAGTCCTGTAGCTCAGTGGTTAGAGCACTCGCTTTGCCAGTGAGTAACCTGAGTTCAAATCCAGACAGGTCAGGGCGAAACCTTGGGCAAGTTTCCTTACTCCACACGGAGCCTAATAATAATCCCTCCAAAAAACCCAAAACAATAATAAATCGGTCATTTTCAATTTACGACTGTTTGTGGGACATTGCTGTGCGAAATTGGCTGCCGCGTTCGCCCACAAATATACAATCAATTCACTTTACAGTGTGTTCTGTGAAACGCTTTGGGACGTCCTCCCGACGTGAAAAGCGTCATATCAAATGCAAAGATTAAAGATTAAAACTAAGTGTCTCGCTTGCAAGGTGAGCGCTCTGAACACTGAACTACAGGAATTCATGAGGTGTGTATGAGGTGTGTGTGAGAGTGTGCATGTCTGAGGTGCGTGTGCGTGGTCTGTGTGAAGGTTGTGCTTGAGGGTGTGTGTGTTTATATCTGTGTGTGAGAGAGGAGAGTTTATGTGTTGGGATCCATGTAAATGTGAAGCTGTTGACACGGCTTCAGGATGAGAATGGGAGACATTTACCTGGGCTGATGCCGTGTATCATCTGTCTCCAGGCTGTGTACTGTATAGGCCCTTTGTATATCCCCACAGGCAGCTCAGCCTCACACACCGACAGATCAAACCCCTCGTTACTGACCCTGAAATAAGACAAAATCACATTATAAAGTGAAACTGCATCTTGTGGGTTTGTGGGTTCAATTCTGGGATATTTGGTAAAGATCATTTCATACCTTCTGTTGCCAGCGGCTTCCTCCTAATGAAATCAAACACAGACAGATATCAGCTCACACTGAGTCACCACCACCAACAAAAAGTTACATATGGACTGCGTATCTCAAGTTCCAATTCAATCTCTGATCACGTTATCAATCACAATCAGATTGTTTGCTCCAGAATTTTTGTGTAACTGTTACTGAACGACATTATATTGTCACCTCTTTACCTGCAGGAATGTGAGAGCGTCTTTTCCCATCTGTATCTGTAACTCGGAGAGTTCTTGTTCAACGGAATCTAATTTGCACTGAATCTCTCGCAGATTTGTCTCCATTCGCTTTAAAATCTCCTTATTTCGCTGTCTGAGATCTCGCATCACTCGCTGCTCTCTGACATTCAGAATCTGGTGCATTTTATCAAACTCAGCCGTGACGTTGGACTGCAGACTTTTCACCTGTTTCTGCAAATGTCAGACATCCAAACATGTACGCACAGTAAACAGAGATACTGAGATATCACAACGTGTAAACACAGTAACCAGAGACACTGATACATCACAGAGTGTCCACATAGTAACCAGAGACACTGAGACATCAGTTGTGAAATCTTACCTTAACTTGAGAAATCTTTTCTCTCTGTTTGGCTTCTGCTTTTATCGCTGTTTCCTTCCTCTGTGTGAGAGAAGCTAAGGAGGATTTCCATTTGTCCTGTAATAAATGCACAGAATTAACGTGTTTGAAGGTGAAAATATCTGGTGGATCAGATATAATCCTTCTTGAGGGGTATTCTTACCTTATAGATGTCAGCAGCTTCCTCAATGGGTAGGAATCTGTGGCCCCTGTGTTCCTGCCCATGACTGCAAACTACACACAGCAATTTCTTGTCAGATTGACAGAACAGCTTCAGTTCCTCCCGATGTTTCTCACAGTGAATTTTATTTTCCGTCTGTGTCGGGGTCAGGCCCAATTTTCGAGCTTTCTCTGCTAGACTCGCCAAGGCCCAACTGGCTGTGACGTTCTTTTCTGTAAATGTCTCCTGACAAACAGCACAGCAGTTTTTCTCCTGCTTTTCCCAGCTCCGGGTGACACAGGAGCGACAGAAGTTGTGGCCGCAGCCCAGGCTAACAGGGTCAGTGAAGAAATCCAGACAAATCGGGCAAATTATCTCCTCGGTCCAGATCTCAACCGAGAGTCTAGAAGCCATTTTGATCCTGAGCATTTCCTGATTGAAACTGGTTTCGGTTTCGATGTAAGTTTGTAAGCGGATCCCAGTCACTGAGCTGACAGAACCTCTCCTTTAGTCTCTTCTTGTGAAATCCGTTTATTGTGACTTTGATCCCAAGAGAAGATGAGAAAACTTTGTACAATGACAAGGACAACCGAGCAAGGAAAGCGTTGGAATATTTGGAGGGGTGGTGTGCATGTTGGGTGGGGCGAGGACGGGTGTAAGAATGAGAAAAAGCGCCATCAAATGGGTTAATTTGAGGTTGTTTCAAAGATCTCTTGTCTATGAGATGGTTTTCTGGTGCACGACATGTACAATGGCTGAAATCTCGCACGGTGAGGCGGATATTCGGTTGTGTGGGGGTGATATCAAGCTACCTGCGTTTTTTGAGCGATTGGTGTGGCCGGGTCAGTTGAGTTGAAGGAGGTGGCGGAGGAAGGGCCGTTTAAGGCAATGATGGCTTTTGAAATTGAAAGCACGGTCGACGAAAAAGACCTTCAAATGACACTTGAAGGCGGTGAGGCAGAGGGAATGCGGGAAGAGTTCCACAGTGTGGAGACAGAGATGCTGAATGCCCGACCTCCAAAGGTGGGGTGGGAATTGCGGGAGATCTGAAGCAGGCCGGTGTCAGCCGAGCGGATACAGCAGACAGTCTTATTTGCGGTTATGAAGTCGGAGACGTACGGTGGAACAAGACCGTGGAGTTTCCTTGAAGTTATAGTAAGCGTGGTCTCTGTGTAACTGGGCTGCTCTCCATATAACTGACCTTATCTCTGTATTAAAGCCTGATCTCTGTATAACAGGCCAAGTGTCTGCGTAACTAGCTGGATCTCTGCATAACGTGCCTGGTCTCTTCATAGCAGATTGGACTCTTTTTAACTGGCATGGAGACTTTATAAGAGGTCTGTCTCTATACAAAACCTTTGGATACTATAACTGTCTTGATGTCTGTACAACAACACAGCTCTCTGCATACAGGCTATGGTCTGTGCATGATAGGCCTGGTCTCTGTATAACAGGCTTATTCTCTGTAAAATTGTCCTGGTCTCTGCATAACTGACTGATATTCACTTTGTCTCGACAAATGGCTTCTCCTCCCCCCCTCGCACTGTCTCATGTGGTGTCCCTCAGGGCTCTGTCCTCGGTCCCCTACTCTTCATGCTCCACATGCTCCCCCTTGGTGACATCATCTGCAGACATGGAGTTAACTTCCACATGTATGCGGATGACACACAAATCTACATTTCCTCCTCTACTCTCAACTCCAAGAACACCGATGTCCTGACAGCTGCCTGTCCGACATCGCGTCCTGGACGAGAGACAACTTTCTTCAGCTCAACGTCCGAAAAACTGAGGCCCTCCTGATAGGCTCGCGTCAGCGCCTCCGCATCTGAGGCGCTGACACCATCAGCATCCATGGCTGCACTCTCCACCTCTCAAAGCAATCTGGAACCTCGGTGTTCTGTTCGACCCTGAGCTGTATTTCCTCCCTCATATCCGCCCCACAACTGGCACTGCCATCCATCACCTCCGGAACATCGCCAGACTACGGCACGACCTCACCCCTCACGCTGCTAAAACCCTGGTCCACGCCTTTGTCATCTCAAGTCCGGACTATGGGAACTCTCTCCTCGCCGGCCTTCCCGCCACCACCCTCCACAGGTTGCAGGTCATTCAGAACTCTACAGCTCGTGTACTGTCCCGCACCAGGCTTCGGGACCACATCACTTCCACGCTCGCTCGCCTCCACTGACTCCCCATCCCCCAGAGGATTTATTTCAAGATCCTCATCCTCACTTACCAGGCCATTCACGGCCTCGCTCCCTCATAACTCTCTGACCTACTATCCCCCTACCTACCTGCCCGTACGCTCCGTTCCTCCGGCTCCGGTCTGCTCCACGTCCCGCGCCCCAATCGCCCTACCATCGGTGGTCGAGCCTTCAGCCTCTCAGCCCCGAGGCTCTGGAACTCTATCCCCCAGTGCCTTCGCCGCTTCCTCCCTCTCCTCCTTCAAGGCCGGTCTCAAAACCTTTCTCTTTGACCGAGCCTTCAGCTCCCCTCTCGCCTCTCTTCCCCCTCCTCGCTCCTCCTCCCTTCCCTCCCCTCACCCTGACCATTTCCCCCTCCTCGCTCCCTCTCTTCCCTCCCCTCACCCTGACCATTTCCCCCCTCCTCCTCGCTCCCTCTCTTACCTCCCCTCACCCTGACCATTTCCCCCTACTCGGGTCATGACCCAACTGTGCAGCACCTTGCGACGTCCTCCTGACGTGAAAGGCGCTTTATAAATGGAATCTTTTTGTTGTAGATTGTTTTCCCCAGACTCTGTGTGACTACATTATAATGTCATCCCTTTACCTGCAGGAAGGCGAGAGCGTCTTTTCCAAGTTGTGACTCTAACTCGGAGAGTTCTTGTTGAACAGAATCTAATTTGCACTGAATCTCTCGCAGATTTGTTTCCATTGTCTTTAAAATCTCCGCCTCTCGCTGTCTGAGATCTCGGATTACTCGCTGCTCTCTGTCAGTCAGGCTGTGGTGCATTTTAGCAAATTCACCCGTGACGTGAGACTGCAGACTGTTCACCTGTTCCTGCAAATGTCAGACATCCAAACATTACACACAGTAACCAGAAACACTGAGACATCACACCGTGTACACACAGTAACCAGCGACACCGAGAAATCACACCGTGTATGCACAGTAACACGTGTTACTGTCACATTACACCGTGTACACAGACTAACCAAAGACACTGAGACATCACAACGTGATCAAACATTAACCAGAGACCAACAAACAGCCCAGACATCAGCCCCGACACAACTTACCTTAACTTGTGAAATCTTTTCTCTCTGGTTGGCTTCAGCTTGTAGAGCAGTTTCCTTCCTCTCTGTGAGAGAAGTTAAAGAGGACTTCACTTGATCCTGGAATAAACGCACAGAATAAAATTGTTTGACGTGAAACATGACGTGGAAACACAATGGATCCCTCATGAGGGTACCGTTACCTTGTAGATTTCAGCAGCTTCGTCAATGGGCAGCAAGCTGTGACCTCTGTGTTCCTGCCCATGACTGCAAACTACACACATCAATTTCTTGTCTTTTTCACAGAACAACTTCAGTTCCTCCCGGTGTTTCTCACACTGAGGTTTAATTGCCATCTGTGTTGGGTCCAGAATGAATTCACGAGCTTTCTCCACTAAAATGGCCAAGGCCCAATTAACGTTCAGTTTCCTCTCAGCAGTAACTTGGCGACATTCTGGACAGGAGTTTTCCTTATGCTTCTTCCAACTCCGGGTGATACAGGAGCGACAGAAGTTGTGGCCACAGTCCAGACTAACAGGATCGTTTAAGAATTCCAGACAAATGGCACAGTTGAGCTCCTCCGTCAGACGCTGGACCTGATGTCTAGAAGCCATGTTTACCCAAAGTTTCTCTGGTCCGAACTGTTTCAGGCTCAGTGCATTGATGCTGTGTGTGTCCCGCCCTGTGACAGAGTTCACTCCAGTCTGATTCACACAGCTTCACGTGGGGATTCAGGATTGTTAATAACGCCCAGGATTTGGAGGAAGGGAATATGTGATGTGGAAATGGACCAAAGTTCACCAAAGAACAGATCAAATGAGGATGAGTATGCAGATGGAGGAGATAAGAATCGCAGTAAATATGGAACAAGGCATAGACACAGAGAGCAATAATCCTGATTCCTCTCTTGAACACTTTGAAATTACCTGTAAAGGAGGGGCCTCCTGGGCCTTTACTCTCCTGATTAATAACTTCTGATTAATCAAATCTTTTAGAAGATCTCCCATTCCCACATCTGCCGAAACGGTCCCTGTTAATTACCCCTCCCACCTCACAATATCTCCCCTCCGCACACAATTTCCCGTCACACAATCTCCCCCTCCCCCCACACAATATCTCCCCTCTCCTCATTCAATTACCCCTCACAGAATCTCCACCATCCCCACACAAAATCTCCCCCTTCCCCACAGACAATCTCCCCTCACACAATCTCGCCTCAGCCCACAAAATTTCCTCCCTCACCTCACAATCTCCCCTCAGCACACACAATCTCCCCTCCCCATACACATACTCCCAGCTCCTCCCACACAAGCTGCCCTTCCCCCCACAAAATCTAGCCTCCGGCCACGCGACACGCTCCCCACTCCTTCCGCAATAAACCAGGATTCACAGTGATATTTGAGTAAAATTATATTATTGCTTTACTTGCTCATTACTAACATTCGATTGTCTCTTTTCCCTTGACCACCCCCACTCCCTACAATCCCCCACCCCACACTTTATACCTCTCTATCTGCTGGCTTCCTGCAATCTCCAACCGCTACCTTTCTCGTCTCACTCTAAGACCACATTCTCTCCCCAGATTTACTGGAGAACTTTCAGCCAATTTTCTACCACCTACAGGATTCTTCTCTTGAATCCCTTCACTTTCCTCCCTCCCTCTCGACTGTCACACGCCATTTGTTTTTGAATGTGTCTTTGCCCACAGAGGGTGGGAGGTAAGCTGGTTCTGCTTGGAGCTGAACTGGCTCCATGGTGACATGTTTGCCATAAACCAGGCAGCGCCACAGAACAGCTGCTACTAATGCTGATGAACAATAAATCAGGGCGAGCTGAAAAACACTGACACAGCAACTGATAAACCAGAACTCACCTTGTTTCCAGTAAGTCACTAAGCAGCTTGTAGTTGTGTTGCAATAACGAAAAGGACCAGTTCTAGTTAAATATTTTTTTAATTGTATGACTCTCCTTACATGGTTATCAAAGTAATCTTTGACCAACGTTCAAGAATATTGCCACCTGCTAAAACATGCAGTATAAAATCACTAGCGTGTATGTAAAGTTGATCACTTTTGCGATCAGAACCCATGGCCCAGATTCCACGTCTACGCCAATAAGACCAATATATCTATTGTCAAATCACAACTTAATTTTCAGTTGCCCGCTGTGCCACTCTCCTGAACTCCAGCACAATAGCAAAATGATTCAGATATTTCTGTCCATGTACTCACACCAATCTAGTTTCACACACGCATCAATCCAGTCATTGCCTGATCTATACATCATCTGGAGCTTGATACTGGAATTGAGGAATCGAGCCAGACCTCTATGATTTTCTCCAGTACTGTTTCTGATCCAGGTGCGCCCACAGTGTGTATGTGAGGATTATTATTGTCGAGATCAAGAGCTGAAAGCTCCAGCCTGATGTTTATGCAGTGAAACGTGACATTATGTTGACTTTACTTTGTGCAAATTTGCTCCGCATTCGCTCACACACACAACAGTCCCTTGACAATCGATCGCGAGAA